CTGACCGTTTGAGCAGACACATGCAGATTTGTGGCCCGCTGGAGGTCATTTTGCAGGGCTCTGGCAGTGCTCCTCCTGTCCCTCCTTGCACAAAGGTGGAGGTAGCGGTCCTGATGCTGGGTTGTTGCCCTCCTACGGCCTCCTCCACATCTCCTGATGTACTGGCCTGCCTCCTGGTAGCGCCTCCATGCTCTGGACACTACGCTGACAGACACAGCAAACCTTCTTGCCACAGCTCACATTGATGTGCCATCCTGGATGAGCTGCACTACCTGAGCCACTTGTGTGGGTTGTAGACTCTGCCTCATGCTACCACTAGAGTGAAAGCACCGCCAGCATTCAAAAGTGACCAAACCATCAGCCAGAAAGCATAGGAACTGAGAAGTGGTCTGTGGTCACCACCTGCAGAACCACTCCTTTATTGGGGATGTCTTGCTAACTGCCTATGCTTTCCACCTGTTGTCTATTCCATTTGCACAACAGCATGTGGAATTGATTGTCAATCAGTGTTGCTACCTAAGTGGACAGTTTGATTTCACAGAAGTGTGACTGACTTGGAGTTACATTGTGTTGTTTAAGTGTTCCCTTTATTTTTTGAGCAGTGTATAAGGAACACTGTGTTATATGAGAATTATTCTCATATAACAAAATTTTTTTTTTTCCAGAATTTTTATGAGTCAAGGATCATTTTTAGTTATCACTAGCCATGCCTTTATTCATGATAGAGACATTGATTTCTAAAAAAAAAAATTCTGAGAGTTTTTCCTCCAGGAATTCTTTAGGAATTACAGGATAAGAAAAGAAAATCTATGTAGCCTTTTAACTAGATTATGGCCAGGCTGGTGAGGCAGGGTTATGACATTGCAACACTGATAGTGATTTTTAGAAAATTCCTGACACTTTGATTTCAGAAGATGTGTAGAAATACTTGAAACACTAATAATAAGGCAGGACTAACCGATGAAGAATATGACATCATCTTCTAGGTGTTTCTTGAACAAGTCAATTCATATTGTTTTTAAAACATGAAAAAAGGATTAGTTTTCTTTCATTTATTTTTTGTCAGGCATGGGCTACCTTTAATTATTTAATGTTTAATTGTGGGATTTTATATAAACATTTCTATTGGTGCTCCTCCTTGGGAGTTGCTGGTTCCTTCTTCTTCTTCCTCTTCTTTTTCTTCTTCTTCTTCTTCTTCTGCTACTTCTTCTTCTTCCTCCCCTGCTTGTTTTCTGGCGAATTGCGAACCAACGATTAAAGTGCATACCGCCCCCTACTGCATCGGTGTTAGTCACTGCATTCAATTCTCTGAGCTCTGGGAAAGAACACATACCATCACAGAATAGGGGTCCTAACTTTGAATTGATCCATATTTCAGTGACTTTGCATGAACAGCCAGGAGCCCTACTTTCCTCCAGTGCCATGCATAATTACAGTGGTTGGACTGTCAAGATATGCATGATGCTCGGTCGTCATTATTACAACAATGCAGATCACAGTGAGGTTTTGTTTTCAACATTGTTTACAGGATCTGACATCTTAACTGTCATATAAAGACATTTTAAAGAAGTACATACAATTATATTTGTACATTTAAACTGCCATAAAATAAGAAATAGGCCCGGTTTTGGCTAATCCCCGTTTTTTTTGTTTTAAATGTATTTATTTATTTAAGATTAGGCTCATGGCCTGAGTTCTGCGCCGCCTAACGGCAGAGGGGGCCAGGCTCCTTACTGATGACGTGGTACGGTCGTTTGATCAGAGTAGCAGGATGGCCGACCAGAGCAGGCAAATAAAGCTCGCTGCAGCTAAGAAGAAGGTAAATTATATTACAAATGACCCGGCTAAATGTAACGGCAAGCACTGATACGGTTTCTCGTTTGCGGGTGTATGTTGCTGGTGCTTTTTCGTCTGGTTATACATTTCTTTACGTGTCATTACACGTCGACCGAGCTCTGCGCTGTCGCTTGTCCAGTCTATGTCGCTCCCCCGGAAGCTTCAGAGCGCAGGAGTGACCGGTGTTTCTTTTGGGCCTCTTCTGATAACATTAACTTTACTAGATTATGTTGAGGATTTTTAAGCTCGCAAAGGCATTTGTAACATTCTGCGCTGTTTAATCAGTGTTTAACTCAACTTACTCACGTTGCCCATTGCGTCCATGTGTCTTTCTAGCTAGCTTTAAACGTAGTTAACGTTAAACGCGCTAGCGTTAGGGCAAGTTAATGTTGGCTGATTAATGAGTAGTTAGCTATGTGAGTGTAAAAGAATGACACAGTATACGAGCGTGTTTCTGCCTTGTTTTGTAAGACGATTCTATTACCTAAGAAAATAACCATGAAACAGCAATTTTAAAATAAAAGAAACTCCCAGCTACATTTGTAGCACAGCTAGCAGGATAGGGTGACGGGGTCTATTTTGACAGCTGACACCCCTTTTCCCTGTCCTGCTGTGTGTTGTTAGGCTAGCCAGAAAAATGGCCTCATCACCTGTGAAACGTTTGCTTCATGAAATGATTTGCCAGCATTTTCTTGATGCGAGTGGTCGTGCTGATAACATTTTACATTTCACTGCGATTCAACCCCAGTACTTTGAAATGGCAGATCCAGTAGTTTCCCAAAAATTCCCTGGTCGCCAACGACAGTTGTCACATGCCCAAACGCACAGAAGAACGAGGAAGTCTATCAACTTTTACATGAGTAACATACATGACCATAGTTTCCCATAGCCAATAAACTTTATCTAGTTTATTTTAGAACAGGAAGCCATAGAATAGCAGCTGTGCATTGTAGTCTACTCCTGAAGCAGAATCTTTTAAGTAGCTGGTGTTTTGTCAGAAACGGGAGAAGTGCATCCCTGCTTCATCTGACACCATTTTCACATCTCCTACGTTTCCAGTTAGCATTAAAAACTTCCAGAAGTTAGAGATGACTTGTTTAGAGCAGTGTCTCCAGTTGGTTGAAAATTGGATGCAGTTCTAGCAGCCGACTGCAGGATTTGTACAGAGTAATAAGATTAGCTACATTAGAGATTTTCTTCCTGGCAGAAAAGAAATACTTGCTGCATTCCTACTCACATTTAATGTTTCCTTATTTCATGTACTGCTCAGCTGAAGGAGTTTCAGCAGAAGAGCTCCCCTGCTAGTGTGGGAGGAGAGAAGGGTGGAGGAGGTGGTGGGGCAGGGGCCAAGAAGAAGAGGAAGGTGAAGGGATTGGGCCAACTTGAGTCATCATCAACAGAGAGAAGTTCTCCAGTCAATGTAAGTCAGTCCTACTTTTCATTGTTTGCCTGTTTATTGTTCTGATTTTACTGCTGAAATAACAATCTCTGTCCCAGACAGTCTCTCTCTGTCCTTGTTATGTCTGGTTTCTCAAATCCAGTGTGCCATGTAAAAATAATTTAATTAGCTATATGTATTGCAATCATTTGTGTAACATTCAGAAAACATTAAAACTTACTGTTATGTTGGCTGCTTACAACAGACAGACAAAAGAGTAAATCTAATGAGTATGTTATATGTACGTGCATATTACGTATAGTACATACAACCTGTGTTACTGCAATAGTTAGTTTAATGGTTACTACAGGCTGGCAGACTTGTTTATTGTCACAAAACAGTTTGCAGATTGTGAGATGATATAGCTAATTTACTGTTGAGTTGGCATTTTTTCCCTTCCCACGCAGTGTCGACTACTCATTAGCAACTTTAACATCTATTTTTTGGCCAAGTGATACAGTGGAAATACTGGTTATCTTAGAGACAGAGATGACTTTAGTGCCCTAGCCATAACGGTGGGATTTCTCAGGTTACAATGCAGTAGAAGTCAGTTGACCATCAGGTTTGCAGACAGAATGTGGGCAGGTATACAATAAGTTTTCAAATCAACAGTGCCTGTACCTAATTAATAATTAAATGTACATAATCAGAGAAAACTTACTGGCATTAGAAATCAACATTGGAAAGATTCATGTTGTGTGAGATAAGACTGGACATTTTGCAACAGTGGCCACTTATGAAGATAGCCTATGTCATGTTATTAAGATTCTTGCTTTATTATGAAAATCCAACTTCTAACCAGAAAAAATAGGCAAATAATTATTACTGTTTATGGTGGCAAAGGGAAATGTGAGCAGGTCTAATGTGTTAGTTTGTAGAGCTTATTTTAGATGAAGCCAAAACAGCATGTGTAGTCGTGGATTGTGCTTCTCCACAAAGGCAATATTTTTGAGTCATTTTTATTTGAATTGTGTTATTCTGATTCTGATTAGTGGTATCAGTCAGTAGCCTCACAATTCTCCTATGTGCCCTTCCCACTTCTATACCTCTTCCTCCTAAGATTTCTTGTAGCAGCTGCTTTTCATTCTCCATGTCTTTCATTTTCTAAATTGTTCTCTCCCCTTTTTGCATCTCTTTCACTCGTCACCCTTGTTTCCTCTTTTCTGTAGTTTGACAGTATTCTGAAAGCACTTAGTCAAACCAATGGAGTAGTCCTGCCTCCTTATGGCAACAGTCAGGTGAGCCTCTGTCTCTTTTTCCCTGCTCGTGTTTTCTCCTCTGCTGTAAATAGCTGTTCTTCATGTGGTATTTATTACTGTAACCTCGCTTCCCCATTCTCACCTCCCTCTTATGTGAAGTGCACTTATTCTTTCTGACAAATAGACCAGAAAGAATTGATAAAGTTAAGTGCAAATTCTTGCATTGGTGCTGTGCTTTTAAAATCCATGTCAAGAGAGTGGATTAATAGTTTAAAAGTGTGGAGGGTACGTGGTTATTTCTCTGACTTCATCCCAGTGTTCTTAGTGAACTTGCACAGTTCACCATCTAACGCAGAAGAACAATGTGGATTGAAAGGGTGTGTGCAGTGTGTGGCATGTGTCTCAATCGTTGCATGGTTTCGTTATGAGCACCTGGATACATCATGCAGGCATGCATCTAGGAAACCAAGATGTATGTGTGTGTTTCACTTTATAGCTCTATCTGTCCTTGCTACTTTTGTCTTTGTTGATTTCTAGCTCATTTTTAACATGCACTCTCGAAACTGTTTTGTTATTGCAGGTTATTTAAAATGTCTACCTCACATGAAGGTCAGAGTAACTAAGTAGTTATTTGTCTATCATTCAAATCACAGTTGGCACTTAAACAGAATAGTCTGAGTTCTTTTAGTGCTTTTACTCTGCAGATTTTTTCAGAAAGAGCTCCATGAGTAGAAGTGGTGGGCAGCAGTGAAACTGCTTTCCTGCTACTATCACCACAAGTAACAGATCTTACATTGAGATGCTCTGTGGTCTATTGTGAAATCATCTGATGTATAAATGACATAACTGACTTCATTTGAAACTATCACCTTAATCTCTTAGTGCATGTAAACACATACACAGTTTGAGATATCAGTGTGGTCTTTATGTTGCCCTTTCATCAAAACTGCTATTTTTCTGTGCATTAAACCAGCGTGTGCATTGTTTTTGTATATGTCTCACCTCAGACCTTTGCTGACGTGGAGGCTTCAGTTCCTCAGCTGCTGGAAGACCCAGAGGATGAGCCTGGTCGTGGCTCTCCTATTTCTAACCCCGCTAGTGCTAACACTACTAATAACCCTGAGTCTGTTGATCACAGCACTGACCTCCAGGTGTGCCTCTTTCTTTTGTCATTTTTCTCTTTTTTATTCCTCTTTTGTCTTATATCATATGATCTCTGTCAGTCTTACTCCTGTCAAGTGTAGCTAAGATTATAAGGCTTGGTGTAACATAGGTTTAATTTTAAATTGATTACATTTTGTCCATCAGTCAACACTTATTAACTCATGATGACAAAGCGATTTTTTTTAGAAGTTTTTGCACTTTAAAAAAAAAAAAATTTTAATCAAAAACTGAAATGTCTTATTTTGACTCTTTGCTGTGGCACCTCATATTGTGCTCAGAGGCATTTTTGCTTTAATTATCCATGAGATATGTCTAGAACTTGCTTGACATCCATCTGTTGCAAACTGAACTGATTGGACATAGTTTAGAAAGGCAGATATCTGTGTATATACAGTATCTGTCTCATGATTCACACTGCATGTCAGGACAAAAACTAAGCCATGAAGTCCAAGGAACTGTCTGTAGTCCTACACAATAACATTGTGGTGAGGCTTAGATCAGAGCAAGGCTATAAACCAATTTCTAAACCTCTGACTGACTGTTCCCAGGAGCACAGTGCAGGGACAGGGAGAGGGGTCAGAACTGAGGGAAGGATGAATGTAGCCAATTACAGAAAGATCCATGGAGAAAACCTGCTCCAGAGTGCATGCCACCTGAGACTGAGGTGACAGTTCATTTTTCAGCATGACAGTAACCCGAAGCATACAGCCAAAATAATGTTGGTGTGGCCTCTGGACAAGTCTCTGACTGTCCTTGAGTGGCCCAGCCAAAGCTCAATTTAAACCCCATTGAACATTTGTGGAGAAGCAGTTCACAGACACTTGTCATCCAATATGACGGCGCTTGAGAGGACATTGGGATGAACTGCCCAAGTCTAGGTGTGCAAAGCTATTTGAGACTCACCCAAGAAGAAAGTACTGAATTATGGGTCTGAACACTTGACACTTTACTCACTAACATCAAATTGAATTTACATTTGATCACTAAGATCAAAAGCAATTTTCACTTAATCACTAAAATCAATGCCACTTTATATTTATTCACTACAATCAAAGTCAGTTTACATCTAATCACTAAGGTCAAGTTAGCTTCAGTAACTAAAATCAAGGCCAGTTTCCATTTATTCACTAAGATCAGTGTCAGTTTAATTTACTATGATAAATCATAGATTGATGGGCAAAATGGCAATTTTGTTCATTTCAAGTTGAATCTACAGCACAAGTGGGCAAAAATCAAGGGGCCCTGAATACTTCCTGAAGGCTCTGTATGTGTGTGATGAAAACAACAGATCCAGCTTGCTTTTGTTGTTGGTGGTGTTTTGATCTGCTTAATATGCTCTTTATTTCTCAAATGTGATCCCTGTATTTTCTGCATTCTCTTCTGACTCTTTTCCTCTTTTAATATGTTTCTTGCTATCTGCAGGACTGCCCTGATACCAATGGCGACGAGAGTTTGGCTGAAGAAAATAGGTGGGTTACCTGACCCTCCTTTACATTGTTTTATGGAAAAACTCACCACACATAATACAGATACCAAGGTCCTGCTCTAGTACAGTTTCATGTTTCCCTAAAACAGTTAACGTACTGTATGTTTAGAATTTGGATTTGGAGATGCATTGTCCAGCCAAATGTAATGTCTAGCCTGTTTGTGTCTGCGTGTGTATTTATGTTTGTGTTATTCTGCAGGCCACTATCTTCTACAGAGAGCCTGCGACAGCTCTCACAGCAATTGAACGGCCTAGTCTCTGAGGTATGATTTTTAGAACTACCAGTGGCATCCTGTCTTTGTCTTACACTCACACACATATCTTTGTCATACGGTGGTGGGCTTTTAACATTAATACACATCGGTGGTGACGGATGTGCACTTACAGTGAGGGTGTGTTGCATCTATTCTTGGATGAAATCCACTGGAAGCATTTTAAAATTTGCCAGTTCTTTTCAGTGGCCTCAAGCACACTCACAGCATCAACTGATGCACCAAACCAGCTTGAGATATTTCCTCTGAACTTGGTTTAGTTTTTGCACAGTCTGCAGAAAACCACAATGTGTACATTCTGTTAGATTTCAGTTTGGACTGACCTTTTAACCTATGGACTAAAAGGATTAATAGGATGAGTACAGATAAGCATCTGGCTGATATAATAGTGGGCAATGCATAAATATAATAAGCAAACTGTTAATTTTACAAGAAAATACATTAATGTTGCCTGACATGGTGGAAAAATGCAAGTGTTACCACAGCTGACTAAGCTTGTTGCCCATCTGCAATGCATTTGCTATGTTTCTGTTTTGAGCTTTTACAGACAGGCCATTTTTCATTCAAGCATGTACACAATTGTGTTATTGTCACTTGCAACATTAACGTTTGTGAACTTAAGGATGTCTAAGGTCAGTATACATACTTAAATGTGATGAATTTTCTGTGCTGGAAGCACATTAATGTGTGTGTGTGTGTGTTGTTTCAGTCATCTGCTACTTATGTGAACGGAGATGGTGCATCTTCAGTCAGCGAGAGAGAACTGGAGGTAAGATGGAAAGCAAACATTTCCAACTAACTAGAGATGGTTTCTGAAATGTAAAACCCAAGTAAGAAATCACTTAAGCCATATACTGTTTATATGCAGTGCCATTCACAGTAAAGTGACAGAAGCATAGTAAAAGGCATATTCTTCTGCTGTCCATGAATCCCTTGGATTCCTGATATAACCAGAACTGCCCATGGATCATTGTATCACAGTGTGCCTGCATATAAAGTGAAACTCAATACAGTATCAAAATATTGCCCACAATGAATTTTCTCTAGGCTGCAGGAGAGGTACAGAAACACACCATTACACAAACATTTCTGTCTTGGCTCTTTGCACCATATAATGTTGTTTCATTGAACATGCTGTGGACATTGATTGCCCCATTAAGTGGAGCTTGGAAGCTTTTAGCACTGTCAATGTCAATATTAAAACACATTTGTGCACCACTCATAAAGATGGTATCGTTTGCCTCTTGTTAATGATTTGCCTTTGAATTTTCTTCCTCCTCCCATATGTTCTTTGTGTTGCTTCTGCCACTGCACTTTATCCCTGTCTTCTTTTTTTTTCTTCCCACCACTTTCCTGCATGTGTGCACGTGATAGAGCCGGAACCAGGAGCTGGCAGCCGCCCTGGAGTCCAGCAACCTAACAAACTCTCAGCTCAATACCAAGCTAGATCAGCTGGTAAGAAGCTGTGTGTGTGTGTGTGTGTGTATGTGTGTGTGTGTTTGTTTGTGTGCACACCTTTGTGTGATTGCAGGAACCACTTTGCAGCCTCCCACAGTTAATTACAACATCAGCGCATGTACTGTATGCTTTCTGCATGTCATCTTGAGAAACCACACAGTTCAAGACATCATGCATGGTATTTATCTTTCACTTAGGTTGATAAAATACATATCTGTTAAATACTGTACAACCACAGCATAAGGAGCACTTTGAGTGCAGAACCCACAGTTTAGCACACTAACACTGATAATGTCAAAAGGTTAATATAATGTAAATAACCAACAGAGCAGGTTCCTGTCTGGCATGCAAATGAGTTATTTGAGTTATTTTGAATTGGGCAACACTTCTTGGTTGATTAAATAAATACTGATCTTGCATAATATTTGCCTTGTTAATCCGGCAGGCGAAGCAGTCTCAGGAGCTCACAGATCAACTACAAAAGGTTAACAGCTTTTTTTTTCTTTCCTGTCTCCATTCTTTTCCAGTCTATTGAATGTTTGCGTTCCTTCCTGGTAATTCCTTAACTTCATATTTTCTTCCTTAAGGAGAGAAAAGAATTTGAGCAGAGATTTTCAAAGGAGCAGGGAGCAATGCGGGAGCAATTACAGGTAAATGTGTAAACACAAATTTCTCTTTGGATTTAGCATTTCTAAAACTCTTAGCTAGAAAAAACACTCACTGTGTATCTTTATAATATATCAGTGTATGTTGTTAAAAGTTCCTGGTATAAAATGGATAGAAATTTGATCTGAGAACACACCTACCCCATTCCAACCCTTCCTTCCTTGCCTGCTCACCTTGACAGACCTTTATTCAGAATGGACCTTTATGTAAAATCACTTGACACTGCCTTGACGCATGAAGAGCTGTGCTCTCCATTTGCCTTTCCTCAGGTTCATATCCAGACCATTGGCATACTGGTGTCAGAGAAATCAGAGCTACAAACAGCACTACAATACACACAACAGGCTGCACGACAGAAAACAGGTGCGTGAATGTAATAATCAGTGAAACACACTTGAATGAGTTTTCTCTTCTTTTTTTTTTTTGTATTGGCAAGACTCTGTCCCTACCGCAGTCAGTTAACTCTGTGTGTGTCTCTGTTCGTGTCTGTGTGTATAGCTGAGGCAGAGGAGTTGAATAACCGTCTGCAGGCAACAAAGCAAAGAGTGTCGGAGCTAGAAAGAACTCTCTCTTCTGTCTCAACACAGCAAAAACAGTTTGAAAAGGTTTGAAGCCATCACTCCCCATAAACAGAATTTAACGTTAAATTAATAATGCACATGCAGTATTAATGTTTAACTGCATGTACTCATTTCAGTTGTCTTTTTATTATATGTTTTTCTGTCTCCAGCACAACAAAGATCTTGTAAAGGAAAGAGACAGTCTGAGGCTAGAGGTGTTTAGACTAAAGTAAGTCACTTTAGCCTACTATTACCAATGTTTACTGCAGAAGATTTGCTTTAAAATCAAAGATGGTGTTTCAGATCCATCATATTGTATGCACTGCAACAGATGGCATGAGCAAATCTCCCCAACTCCTTTTAGATCTGGGAGTTTAGAAATGACCAACAATCTCTGTATATGTGTGTGTTTCCAGCAATTTGAGTGAAGAGTCAAAGCAGCAGAGCTCGGAGTTTTCAGAAAAGTTGAAACTAAGTACACAAGAGAATGGAGCAATGAGGCTTGAGGTGGAAGATCTTCGAAAGAGGCTCGAGATGGCTGAAATCATGCTGCAACAGGTGCGTTAAAACATAGGCACAGCATTTGACAGTGCATAGACGTTGAAACACGTTTTTTTTTATATCAGTAAATGGAAGTGGTGGATCTTCAGCATAGAAAATTCAGTTTGTTTGCCTGCAGTGGAGCCATATGTCATATAGGTATTAACCAGTATTTCACTCTAGTGTTTGTCCTTTTTATTTTTCTCCAGTGCTCTAGTCAGTCAGATCCCACCAGTGCCAAGCAGCAGGTTCAGTTACTGCTGGAAGAGAAGCAACATCTGGAGGCACAGACTCATCAGGTCTTTATAAAAGAATTTATATCTTACACTTATCTTTTGCCTGAAGCAGTGTGGCTGGTAACTTGGAGGCTTCAGTTTGTGGACAGAAACATATACCTCAGCCACAGACATCATAATGTTCTTGTTATTTTTGGATTACATTGACTAATGTAATGTCGTATATCCTTCGTAGTTTTCCCTCTTTATTTCCATACATGATTTGGTAAATCAAACTTGCAAACTGAAATTTTTATTATTAAAAAATGACCAAGAAGCTTTTGACATTTATGACTAACCACCTGCTTGTTAAGTCTTGTTATGGTAACATCATTACCTCTTTATATTTGTGGTGTAGCTGACGGAGTCAGTCACCCAGCTGAAGACAGAGAGAGACTGCTATGCGGAGCAGATCCAGGAGGAGGGACGTGTATGGAAGGACAAAACAGAGCAGCTGTTAACACAGGTACACTACACAGTAACAATAACATAGACATTATGGTTGACTATAGCTTTGAAAGTAGAGTATGTTTTTTGTTGTTGTTTTGGTGTCAAACAAAAGACTCATTGATGTGTTCTTTATCTGTGCAGGTGTCATTAGTTGCAGAGGAGAGGGACAGAAACATCAATCGAGTCCAAGAACTGGAGGCCAGCATCGCAGAGCTAAAAAATGCTGCAGGTAATAGGTGCACGCTGCAGCCCTCTTTTGCTTATTCCTCTTCCTCACTACTTTCCTCCAGCTTCATTATTGATGTGAAGAACAGCTTTGACCTCTGATTAATGACAGCAAACCTCAGAGGGACAGACTGCTATAATAGTGTTTTGATGCTCTTATCAAAAGTTTTTTTAGCGCTGAAACATGTCTGTTATAGGCTATAAGGCAGTCGGAGTGCTTCAGTCTTTTACCCTCCATAGTAGGATGAATGCCACTGCTGAATTTCACTTATTGTCAAGCATTCAAATAGCAGATTACTACATTATCCTTTCTGTATGATAATATTTAGTTAGCATAATCCCAGAAGCCTCATCATATGCACTGTAACATTAACAGTGAGCACATGCAGGTCACACTATTACCTAGTGTATTGCCCTGTAGCAAAATTATTAAACCTGATTACTGTAATCCACCTTTTTCTCCTCCAGCGTTGCTGTCACAAGAGAGGAAGGCTCAGGATGATGCAGGGCCTCAGTCCTCAGGGCCATCAGAGAGTGAAGTGGCTCTGCAGGAGGCCCTCAACAGTCTACAACAGGAGAAAGAAGCCCTTATTGCAGAGTACCAGGCACAAGTATGTATTACATTTGCTTTTTTGTCCCCCAATCAAATCTAGATACTTAAGGGAATTTATTATAGTGGTCAATATTTAACAGTTTTAACAAAACACAAATTGACTGAATGTTTTAAAGAACATTAGTACTAATACCATTGAACCTCTAAGGCCTGAAGTTTCTACAGTCAGCCTCTGTAATATTTCACCCAGCTGCGAGATAACGAGCAGCTGAGCCGCCTGTGTGCAGAGCAGGAGATGCGTCTGAATGAAATGGAGCGGCACGTGGAGAACCAAACCCAGGATACGGAGGACCGTCGGCGCATGTTGGAGGATGTTCAGTCAGACAAGGCCACTATTAGTCGTGCTCTCACCCAGAACCGTACACTGAAAGACCAGCTGGCTGAGCTACAGAACGGTTTTGTCAAACTGGTGAGGCTGAAAAGCTCGCTGTCTATCCTTTTTTAAAGGCACATTTATCATTATTTACAGTGTATACTTAGCATTTTTGTGTCTGTCCTAACTTCCTGATATGGCATTTATTTTTCCTGCATTCTGTTGGCCTTTTTGAATTGGTGGGTTGTATATGACGTACTGTCACTGTCGCTGTAGCGCAAATTGCAGATGGAAGGCAGGGAGTGATTTTCTACACAGGCAGTACAATCACAAGCTCTCAAAATGCTTAAAGAGTGTGTCATTTACAGTTGATCAGATCAATCACACCGACAAAGAGATGAAGCTTTTATCGAGTACCAAAAGTAGTTGTTCATAAGGGGGGGGGGGGACTTCAATACATCTCTTCATTCAGTTTTTCACTTCCTGCCCTCTGAGTTTCGCATACCGTAATAGTTATTTGCAACCCACCTAACAGTCTAATGTCAGGGTGTGGTAGACTACTGACTTCAGGCCAAGATTTCTGCTAATTCTTCATTTGTACAGACTAATGAGAACGTGGAGCTGACCACTGCCATCCAGTCAGAGCATCATGTGAAAAAGGAGCTGGCTCGTAGAATGGGTGAACTGCAAGAGGAACTGCACAATGTCAAGGAGCAAGTATGGGGACACACACACACCGCTCTTTTTCCACAAACACAATTGTACAACAGGAGACGGAGACACATTTTTGACACCAGTTATTTTCTGCATCCTTTTAGTATAACTTTCATTTTCTTGCCTTCAGTTGGAATTGAAAAATCAGGAGACTCGAGCTCTGATGGAGCAGAGGGACCAGGTATTGCACCACTTGCAGCAGTACTATGCAGCCTACCAGGCCCTGGTCTCAGAAAGGGAACAGCTCCACAAACAGTTTCTGCAGCAGATCCAGCTCATGGACCGGCTGCAGCATGATGAAAGCCAGGGCCGTGCAGAGCTGGAGATCAGTCACAGTCAGCTCAAACAAGCACAGGTATGTTTTTCAGAAATAAAACTCTGTTAATGTGACCATTTGAGAAGCAACAGATTTAACCGGCTTCTTCAAAAGTAATGGCTGCCAGTCTGTGCTTTTCATTTTAATAGAATACACAGCTAAGCAGAAGCAGCTTCATTTTTAAAATGTGCCGTTTTGTCTCTCTGATGTGGTCAAACAAGAAGCAGTTTTTTCTTCATTGCTTTGAATGACTGACTTCCCCAACAGGACCATTTGGAGCAGTTAGTCAAAGACAATGAGCAGCTGAAGGCTGAGGTGAGGGAGCTGCTCAACAGCTCAGCTCTTGCAACATCATCCATAGACCAAGGTAGGACTTCTTTTTATGAGTACCGGTATATTGGTACTTTTTGTCCCATTGTTTATTCATTATCAGAACTTTTTCTTTGTGTGTCCTGCTTATGAAAATTGGTGCCAAAGAAAAGGACCCAGGTTACCTTCACAGTGATGGCTGTGACCCAGATTTTCAGCAGCATAATGGTTTTCCTGTTTCACGTTCTTTAATTTAAAGGAAATGAAACATAAGCCTAGAAACTGAAAACTCTTAAGGACATAGTGTAACTGATGCAAAGCTTTTACTAGTAGAGCAGCACAAGCAATTTCAGACCTGCAGTTGTAGTCTGTCTACAGTAGTTTGAGCCTGCAAATGCAGATATGCTCTTGTGCGCTAGCTACAGATGAGGAGAGTAAATAACTGTTGCAGTCTGACTAATTAATCTTAATTTGTCATTATTTCATTTAGGAGATGGTGTGGAAAGCCAGTCCCTTCCAGACAGTCCAAAGACATCCTCTGCCATAGTCATCCCAGAAGACTTTGAGAGCCAGAAGGAGATGGTGAGGAGGGTGGTGATTGGTTTTCTTCAAATGCAAATACACTTTTAGGATTTATCATTGTCCTTTGCTTTGTTAAGAAATTTCGAAGGCAAAGTTTGAAGTTGATATTTGTTTCACCCTGTTCATCCACTCCCTCCCACCATTTTCTTCACGACTTGCTGTTTCCCTAGGAGGAGTTTATCCGTGGAGCTTTGGCTCAGTTGGAGACAGAGAGGGATGAAGCCAGAAGGCAACTTCAGGAGGAGCACAGGCTCCACATGGTAGCACGGCAGCAGGCTGCTGTGGCCCTCAGACTTGAACACCAGCACCACAGCCACAAACCTGTTCATGACCATCCTCATGAACATGATCACACTCAGGGCCAGCATAGTCACTGTGAACACAGTCATGAACATTCAGGTCAGGAAAACTCCATGGTTGGTTTGTGTGAAGTGAGAAGTTTTTGTTTTTAAAGGAAGCCCGGACTATGTTTGTGAAACAGGACAGTGAGCCTGTTTATATTCTCTGATTTCTCATCATATATAGTATATGAGGTTAAATAATAATCCTAATGTGTACTCTCTTCTGTCTCTGGCCTAGAAGGAGGAGTGCCAGTAGAAGTTCATGAGGCTTTGCAGGTTGCCATGGAAAAGCTTCAGCATCGTTTTACCTCCCTCATGCAAGAGAAAGTTGACCTCAAGGAGAGGGTGGAGGAGCTGGAGCATCGATGCATTCAGCTGTCTGGAGAGACTGACACTATAGGTGAGAATGAACAACATGAGGTTGTTTTTTTTTCCCCCTATGGCCATTATTCTGATCATGCTAGTTATGAGTTTTGGTTGTGTTTTATATACTTTGTCAGAAAGGGACAAAAGGTCTTCGTCACCATACAGATTTCTAGTATAATGGCTTTTTATGTCTTTCCAGGGGAGTACATAGCCCTGTACCAGAGTCAGAGGGCCATCATGAAGCAGAAACACCAGGAGAAGGAGCAGTACATCAGCATGTTGGCCCAGGACAAGGAGGAGATGAAGGTGTTGTATTAGAAACCTTTTTAAACAAAATGAAACTGAACTTTACTTTCAATCTACAAAATGAGATGGATGCATTCAGTTTGAATATTTAAGAAGCTTTTGCAAGAAATGAATCAGAAAACTCTTATGCAGTGACCACTTCTTAAATATATGTTCTTTCTCACAGTCATTTCATCATCATGTTTAATAGAAGCTACAACAGTCCGGACGTTCTCATTCTAACAAACCATTTTGTCCTGCTCGTCCCCACTGTCCATCAGGTGAAACTGGCAGAGCTGCAGGATCTAGTGATGAGGCTCGTGGCTGAGAGAAACGACTGGACGCTGGAGCTGTAGCTGGTGCAGAAGCAGTGAACCCCGACCTCCTTGCTGCTGGGGAGGATCACACTCACCCGAACCACCAAGCGTACACACGCACGGAGCTTAATGCTGTCAGTGCAGCAGGTAACTACAACCAGGAGTATGTGCTGCTATCCTGCACTTGCTCCATCATAAATCAGAAACAATAACATGCTCATCGTGAGCCCACAGGATGGAGGGGGTTAAATCAGAACACTACATGAATGTGGATGATGGATAACATTACTTACCTGAATTAGGGAAAGGGCATAAAGAAAGAATAATTAGATTAAGAAAAAATTATTTTTGATATTTGTAAGGGGTTTTACAAAGTTGAAGTGACACCTACAGCTTAGTGACAAAACCTGTCTCTCTGTATCTGCTGATGTGTATAGCTGTTGTAAGAACAGCAGGATGCACGGTGTTTTTGCAAAAATTGCAGGATGATAGTTGAAGGCAATGCCACAGTAACATAACACAGAAAGAGAGGTATTGAGACAGAAGCGAAGGTAAACCAGTATTTCATAATGTGGTCATTTGATGCACATCTTCTTATATTTCAATAACTTCACCACGCCGTTCTCCCTCTCTTTCTCTGCTGTAGATGCCATGGAAGTCATTCCTCTGTCAGAGCCCACCACAGGCCTGGAAGCCCCCTCGTCCCAGAAGCTTTCAACCGGTTCAGCCCAGATTAACTCCAAGCTCCTGGCACCCAAAGAGGATGGCACAGCCCAGCAAATCATACAGCTGCTTCAGGAAATCCAGAATCCCCAGGGAGCTCCAAGATCGCCCCCATTCCTTGGGGAGAACCCATGCATCCCCTTCTTCTACCGGCCTGACGAACAAGACGAAGTCAAGATCATGGTGGTGTGAGGTGTTGGTGTGACAGGCTGGTGTGTGTATGGCTATTTTTGCATGGCTATACTGTACATTGTGAGCACCAGTTGAGGTTCATAACATGGGCCGGAAGATATTTTGGTAAAGTGAGGACATTTTGGCCAGGCCTAACTTTTTTTTTTTTTTTTTTTAGGATTTAAGTAATTAAATTGGTTTAGGTCAGGCCTACAGTTGTGAAGGTTAAGGGTAGTATAAGAGGCTAGACAGTGCATTACATTAATGAGTGTCCTCACAGAGATGGCTACATGTCCTGAAGTCGGGATATTAAACACCACAGTTTAATGTTTGTAGTGTATGGATCATGTTCACAAACATTTGTCATGAAATTGGACACCCTACATAACTGGTCACAGAAGGATGTTTTTGAGCCAGTTACATTGAAATGCCCCTTCCTTGTTCTGTGTGTTGGCATTAATGTGTGCATGGTTAAAACAGTCTTTTCTATTAGTTATGTTTCTTCTTTAAGGCTCTTCCCAAAAAGGAGATCATTTGTATGCCTAAATGCAATCTGATTATTCTCTTTACTGCAGTTTTTAATTCCCATCCTCTAATCTTCATCTGTGACATAAGTGCAATAAAGGGGCTGTATATTCTGTCCTTACACTGATAGAGCGCTGAAAGTTAGCAGCTTGTTCATGAGCAGCTTCATCTCAGTTTTACACAGTTCGCAGTACACATGCCAAAAAGAGTATCGCATCTGAATGTAATACCCTGAATATTTACCAGTTTCTTTGTGTGATGTGAGAAGTGTGCAGTGAGAGGATGTTTGGGGTGGCAGAGGGAGTTCAAGTTAAGTCAATAAAGAAACTTTGATGCACATAAAAGCTTTTAAAACGTAGGCGCAGTTCTTTTCCAAAGTAAAGAGCTGGCTAGTTACATGATCGGGTTTAGAAAGGTGGAGGGAGATGTGACAGATTTGGTACCGTCTACTTTTTCTGTACATTTTTTTTCCTCCAGGCTGTGAAAAAAAAAGTCATGTTTTGTCCAGAACGATTTGTTAATATGTGAAACACGAGTTGTAATGTTGTCAAACATCCTCTTAGACTGAAGGCAGGGGCCACTGTTATTAAAAGGTGGTTTCCGATTGAGGCGATGGATGCGATTTAAAGACCCCATGAAGAACAGTTTCATTTCATTTGAGGAGTAATTATTTTCTCCATTATTGCTGAAAACAAAGTGAAAAGGGGTGTCTTCTTCAGAATGTAACTGTTAGATAATAGAGCTTAGGGTTCTGGGGATGCTTTGGGCATAGTTGTTTCTGCAAGCTGTCCAGTGTTAAGTTTGGCATTAGCATGTCAGATATTTAGGTACAGTATTTGAAGAAATTACAGGAAATGTTGGTGTTAAAATCTTTGTTTTTCAATTTTTCTGCAGTCAGGTGTTCTGAGGCATTTGGCTGAGCTCTAACGTCTGTTTTATGGGGTCTTTAAGGTTCTACACAAACTGACGAGTGTTCTTTTCTGTTACATTTTGTTTGTAGTTCTACATATCAAATATGATAGAATGCACACAACTTTACAACTGGAGTGTGCGTGTGTGTGTAAACTATTTCCTCTTCATCCGAAGTTGCATCTGTTGTACTTATTGTAGAGTTCTGTCAGATTCTAAAAGTAAGATTGCACTAAAACTGTACAAAGCTTCTCATTCAGCTCAGCTCTACCACAGAGCCTCTTAGCTTTTGGGAGATAAAGGGGAATCCTATGATGCCTCGCTCTGAAGCTGAGGGTCCCACTTGAAGTAACTGGATTTAACTGAAAGTGTGTGGGTGTGTGCAGTGTTGCACAGGAGGATGAAGGCATGTAAATCTGAGTAGATGTTAAAATTAATGAGACCGCTCACTTCAAGAAGTCATGATATTCTCAGAAGTGTGGGATCAGTCAGAGTTTAAGAAAATAAACCTCTTTCCAAAACTAGAGAACAAAACTGGTCAAATTTGTGATCTTCATATACAACAGAGAAACTAGGGAGGATGCCACCATCTCCACTGACTTCATATTTTTTTTGTTTAATGAAGACACAACTGGCGCCAGCAGCTCATATTTTTTGTTTAATGAAGACACAACTGGCATGTAGCTTTAGGAGAGGGATGCTCATTTTCACAAATGAAGACTGGATGTATTATTATTTTCAGTGCAGGACTCTATACCTAATAGCCAAGCGCTTCGCCAACACAACGCATTTCTTGTCCATTTGTGAACGAGTCTTGGTTGAGGCCACATGCGTGGGCTTGAGGGTCTCACCAATGCAACTCGTACAGAAGTCCCACTGGTGTATTGGTGCAGATTCTGGTGTTTTAAACATTATATAAAGCTAACTGTAATTACATGTAAGTTATATGGAGGCCAGTTGGTGTTGCTTACGAGACAAGTATTCAACGCATCTCCCCTAAACCACGGCACTTTGACAGTAACTGGTTGGTTGTGAAAAAATGTACTTCATATTCTTGGTTTTAAAATTCCTCGCTTCTTTTCTTTGGTTTCCTTTGAAACATACCACCAATAACCTTTTTGTTTTGTTTTTGGGAGTGGTTAGACTAAGAAGTAAACGTGCTATAAAGTTCTTTTTTGGGTTCTAGGGATTTGGGGACTTGTAAAATAAATTAATGTGGATAAAATGACTTCCCACACTAATTCATTGTTTAATGTGTTACTCGTGATTGATACAAATAGCAAGAAGAAAGTATTTATTGGGAGGTGGTGTACATACTGTACTGTAACTGTGTAGCATATTGTATATTCATTATGCCTGGTGTGTAGGCAAAGCTGCTGAGCCATGTTTGCTGGCTGTGTTTAGTACAGAATCGGGGTGTTGGTGGTTTCTGACTGGTTGTGGTTTAATACAAAGATTGACTAAAACGAGAATATATTTATTTGGAATAAGTTAGTATAGTAGTGACTGTCAGATGAAAGTGAAGGATCATTCAGAGAACTGATTTATTTGAGGGCTGCTTCTGACAGAAGCTTTCTGATTTTTTTTTTTCTTGAATAACATTTCTCCCTTTCTGCTGAATAAAACAGACTGAGCAACTTAACTATCATTTTGTATTTACTCTATGCTTTTATGCACACATGACCTTGACCGTAGACATTTAGATTTGTGACATTTAACAATGGCTCTGTTTAATTCTAGTGTGCCTTAAGTGCTGGTTTCGAAGCCTCGGTGTTCAGCCTACTATCAGTACAATTACAAGGACCCTGAAACTTAAGCAGCTAAATGATATTCAGCCATTATTAACCGTTATTTACACCTGTGATTTTCCTACTAGCACATTTTAAACTGTCTTTCATGCAGAAGGCCTATTGCTTTACCCAGTCATGATAGCAAAGTTGTGTGTGTGTGAAACCCGAATTAAAAATGTCATGGTCTAGCTCCTTGAACCCACCCTGTGCTGCTGACGTTTACTATTATAAAGAGACAAAAGAGGAAAACAAGGAGGAAACTCGGTACACTAAGCTTTTTAATGCATTGACAAAGCACAGCGGTCCTGCAGGATAAAGTCGTCATTCTATCCGCATCGGTTTGAACAAGATGCATGAGGTGGTTGCTGCTGGATTTCACACACTCATGCTGCCCCTCCTTACTCTTGTGCACAGAGAGACAAAAGAACAAGCACAAAAAAGTCTGCTACAAATATCAAACTACTTTCCAATGTCCATATACATCACTGCATTATACATTTTCAAATGTTATTCCCTTATAGTAATTTATTCATAATTTAAATATTAAGCATTTTCAAACATGGCTGTAGACAGAAGTACAAGTCCCATAAGATGTACTATACATATATATTAATACAGTAAGATACCGTATGTCAATAATAAACTATTTACTGTTAAATAAGTGGAATATGCTTTGTTGTGTTTGCTTTGCAGCCGAGGAGTCACAGAGGATCAATGATGTGTTTCAGGGGTTTGTAAAAGACGCCAACTGAGGTACAGGTGAGTTAGTGGTGGTTGGTGGGTTTGGTATTTTTGACTGGGGTCAAACTACAACACATCACACTGACAGCAGTGAAATACAGCTAAAAAGATGGGTTGACCTCAGGCTCTCAGGTAGCAGTGTGAGAACAGAAGGAGCGTTTGATAGTTTAAACATAGACCGTAGCTGTTTTCATATTCTCACTCACCCCCGTGACCACTGAGAGAAGGAAAAGAAGACAAAAAGAGGAAAGAACAGAAAAGAGATGGTATATTATCAACAATAAAATGCTGAAGGTTTTCAAGGTTCAATATATCAGGAGATTTGACGCATAATGTGATCAAAGGTGACTTAGAAACACAGTCCAGATATTTAAAACCTCTTCCATGAGGATGTACAAGGAGCTACTGCATCTAACAGTCATGGGCTGCAACCCAGGTCACAGACTCCCTTCCTCTTAGCTAAAAATGTAGGCTCTGGCTCTTGTGTGACTACTCGCATGCAGCTACCTGCAGGAGGGCGTACTACAATATATAATACACTTTCTGGTCAGAGCCTGCCTTGATAAAATAATGCAGCAACAAAGTTTGTGTGTGTATACATACATATATGTGTGTGTGTGTGTGTGTAAGCAAGTGTGCATGCACATGTGCACATACACGGGTCAGTTTCTTATCAATTATTTAATATTTTCTACATACTTTCTTTAAATTCTGAGGGTGCAGGATGTTTGTATGACAGTCGTGCAGGGGTGTTTCAAGTATTGTGCATCTCTGTGTAAAACAGGAGAGTGGGGGAGAGAAAGAGAGACATGGCTGGTTGTGAGGGAGGAGCAGGAGAAGGGAACCAGCTCAGGTCAGGCGAGGCAGAAAATGGCCAGGAGGTGGTGCTGTTGTCCAGGACCTCTCATCCAGAAGAAGGAGAGATGACGGGAGGAGGGAGGAAGGAGCTCAGAGGTCTAGTGGGTTGGAGAGGGAGGGGGTCTCCAACTGCCATGGACAAACATAGGGAGAGGATACAAAGAAGAGAGGATGGAAAGGAGACACATTAGTATTTGGTGTTTCTATTGACCCCCATGTGTAAATTCTTTCACATACACTAAAATACGCAGCGCCCTGTGGGGGGTGCTCCGGGAGTACGGGGTCCGACCGGAGCAGGAGCTTGGTTCGCATCGCCGGCAGTAAGTCAGACTTGTTTCCAGTGCATGTTGGACTCCAGCAGGGCTGCCCTTTGTCACCGGTTCTGTTCATTATTTTTATGGACAGAATTTCTAGGCGCAGCCAGGGGCCGGAGGGAGTCCGGTTTGGGGACCACAGGATCTCGTCTCTGCTTTTTGCAGACGACGTTGTCCTGTTGGCCCCATCAAACCAGGACCTCCAGCGTGCACTGGGGCGGTTTGCAGCCGAGTGTGAAGCGGCTGGGATGAGAATCAGCACCTCCAAATCCGAGGCCATGGTTCTCAGTCGGAAAAGGGTGGCTTGTTCCCTTCAGGTTGGTGGAGAGTTCCTGCCTCAAGTGGAGGAGTTCAAGTATCTTGGGGTCTTGTTCACGAGTGAGGGAAGGATGGAACGGGAGATTGACAGGCGGATCGATGCAGCTTCTGCAGTAATGCGGTCGATGTACCGATCCGTCGTGGTGAAGAAGGAGCTGAGCTGTAAGGCAAAGCTCTCGATTTACTGGTCAATCTACGTTCCCACTCTCACCTATGGTCATGAGCTTTAGGTCATGACCGAAAGGACAAGATCCCGGATACAGGCGGCTGAAATGAGCTTTCTCCGCAGCCTCCTGGGCGCCTTCCTAGGGAGGTGTTCCGGGCATGTCCCACCGGGAGGAGGCCCCGGGGAAGACCCAGGACACGCTGGAGGGACTATGTCACTCGGCTGGCCTGGGAACGCCTCGGCATTCCCCCGGAGGAGCTGGAGGAAGTGTCTGGAGAGAGGGAAGTCTGGGCATCTTTGCTTAGACTGCTGCCCCCGCGAACCGGTCCCGGATAAGCGGAGGAAAATGGATGGATGGACACTAAAATACTGCACCTTCACTCACACAGTCGACCACATATGAGGTAACACATGGAAGAAACACGGAGACACAACCAACATTGCAGAGATATTAGGCTCAGTTACTATAATTACAGTACAAGTAGTATGTGTTTGCAGTTCAGGCCAGGTATTACTCCACATCTAAGAACAGTAGAGTGACTTGCAGTTACAAAGACTTTTTACTATATGTTATTTCATTGTTGAGCCCTGGTTATTAGACTAAATCTCTTAACATACTGGAACATTAACTGAGCGGTGTATAATTGGAAGTACATACAACTTTGAATAAACCATTTTTTTACCATTTATTTGTGACAGGCATCATCATTTTATGTTGCATCTGTTGATCATAGCCAAACTACAGCAGCCTAACTTCTCATAGTTTTTAGAATACCTGTTCTTTTCACCTTACACAGTATCTTTGACTCATCTCTCTTCCTCCACAGTTTAAAAACATATAGAATATAGTTGACTTCTGCTCCAATGATACAAAAAGCAGCCTAAATTACAACACCCTGCCGACCTCAACTTCTACCCACCCAGTTACAGAAAGTGAAGTTCTGTTGGGCAGAAAACAAATGACTCTGAAGGACAATTTCAGACACTCAGTGACATTCTGTAGTTACAGATGGATGGGATGTCATGGCATATATATACACACCACACACAACACTGACACAAAACCAACATCAGTCTTTAAGCTTTGGACATTTGGCATCTGTTTAACCGGCTGCTACTGTTAACTGAGAACATTTCTTCATTCCCATTTTGACATAGTGACTTCAATAAACGAATTAGCATCAACTCCAAAAGGTCATGACCACAATCAGGTCACACATTGATGCAAACACACATTCCCTCTGAAAGTGTGTGTGTTTGCCCTTGCAGCACTCTGAGAAGAAAAGAAGAAGTGAGAAAAAGAAAATGCCATGCAGTGAAAGGATGTGTTCTGAGAGGTAGAAAAAGAAGGAAAGGGATGGGGATGGCGATGATGATGATAGTAGACAGTACCCACCATACCAGAAACGTTAGTCCTCACTGGTCAGAGATAGTGATTCTGTAGAAGGAGCCATAGTTATGTGTGAGATATAGGTGTGGTGAGGGAGAGAGTGATGAAGGGAAGAAAAGAGAAAAGGAGTGCAAACTGTTACAGTGCAGGAAAGGACCGACGTCACATGTGCTCAGCTCTCACTCAGGATAGACCGTAAAACAGGAAAAGGAACTGGATGGAAAAAAAATCAACAATTTGAGGATTTTGAGATGCTCAGATCAGATTGTGAGGCTGAATTTGCTGAGCATCATTCACTGTCCGCTTCCATTTATCTTTTTCCCCTCATCTGGGTGTCTTCACATCCCCCTCAGTATCCACACTTCAGGTTGGGGTAGCTCTTCATAATATTATGAGCTATAGTTTGAATGTTACTATCCTTGTAGAGTCTACTGTACATACTTTAGGTTTTTGAGTATAAAACTATCACCTTTTGACTCACCTGGGTACACTTGGGGGTGCACGGTTAGGTCTGGAGGGAACAGTGGGTGGCAGCCCACTGTAAGGGTCGGGGGAAACTCCAGGGCGAGACGGGACAGGGGGTCCTCCAGCAGGTGGAGGCCCGCGAGAGACTGGGCGGGTTGGGGGTCCTGGTGGAGCCCTACGGCTTGGAGTTGGACTGGTGGCTGGAGACCTGGAGGAAAAGAGAGGGAACAAACTGAGAAAACAAGCATTAGAGAAGTGTTACGTCAACCATGAAGTCGCATGTTAGCATTCTTCCATTATCCTCTCTCTATTTCCATCATGCCTTACCTTCCTCCGGAGCTGCTCCGTTGCACCTGCAACCAGGTGTCGTCCACAGGTGGTGGCATGGTGGTGCTTACTGTGGATGTACTGATGTCACCGATGATGCCGAGGGCCTCCCGCAGGGCGTGGTACATCCGCAGCATCTCATCACGGTGCTGGGCCTGTTCCTGAGACTCCTCCATCAGCGTGTTCTGGTCGGCACATGAGTACAACTGGGCCAGCAGCTCAGCATTAATAAACTCCTTGGTCTGGACACCAAGAGGGAGAGAAAAGTTTTGTAATGAAAGTTGTACTTTCTGTTTTTTCTTAATAACTGCTGCTTCCCACACTGATGGCTTACATTGTTAATCATGAGGTGCATGATGGTTTTTGGCATCAAGTCACGGACAGTCTTGTTCACAATGGCCATATAGGAGTCGACCAGGTTGCGAATGGTCTCCACCTGCCGCTCGAGCTGAGGGTCCATGCTGTGCACAAATTTGTCAGAGCTGTTTTCATCACCACCATCACTCTGCAATGAGTTTGATTGTAGAGAAAGACGTTAGAGAAACAAGAGCTGTTAAAAAGGACAAAACAGGAGGTTAAAATCACTATTATTATAAGGAGTATTTTGGATAAAATATTCTGTATAACAATGTTATTTGTTTGAACACAGTCCCAATGGTCACACCATGCTCCCCATCTTATTGCTGCAAACAATAACTGCTGGTACCACTGAATAGCCGTTACTGTCAGCTAATCAAATCAGATGTGATGCCCAACAAATACGTAAGTGTCACTCCATTTAAATAAAGTCCTGCTAGTTCATTGTTTTGGGGCAAAACCTTCTATAAAAGGCACAAAAAGTATGCAAATGTGTTATGTAGACCAAAATAACATATTTCACATAACGTACCTTTCCTTCCTTCTCCTACAAGGTGAAACAGTGATGGAGGGGGAAAAAAGCATTGAAAAAGACAGATAGCACATGAGAGACAACAACATAAAAAACTCTAGATAACTCGTGTAAAAAACAAAGCAATAATATTTTTGTCTATTTAATTTTGTCAAAGCAAGGGTAAGAATGTTTACTGTGGTTGTTATTTTAAGTAAAATTGTTTCAGCTATGCATGATAAAAATAAATAAGTGCAATATTAATGCTGTTTGTACTTCTAAATAAGTCTTACTGTGACCCGTTCAGGATAAACTCCTGCTCGGAGGAAGGAGGCCTTCCAAGCATCAATATCTTCCTGACTCTCACAGGCCAGCTCCAGCTGACGGTAGTCTTTATACACATTTCTGTGGACAGGCAGTAACAACAGCAATAGTAATGGCAATCAATTTTTCATTTGTAATGGAGTTAGCTGAGGTTGTATATAGCATTTCACTTATTTCTGTGTAACTGTTCCATTTGTCTGAACAAAGAATGAAAGTCAGGTAGAGAATACATTTTAACTTGGCTGCAAAATCATGTTGTAACATATCATGTGATCAACAATGTGTACATATATTCAGATGTGTTCCTAATATTCTGACCCTCTCATGTATGTAACATTGAAGTACATTCAATTGTACAGGTGTGCCTAATAAAGTGGCCGGTAAGTGTACATTGTATGCTGATGTGTTTATGTGTCTTAAAACACCTCTGTTCAGTGTTGAAGAGAGCAAAGATATGCTTGCTAGACATGAAGCCTTTCTCCACATCACGCAGCTTCAGGTTGTCCACCTGCAGCATGTACTTCTTCTCTTTCTCCTGCAGGGGGCAAAAGAGAAACGCAACAACAGCACACGTGAGGAAGAAAGAGAGAGACTGATGTGCTCCATGGGTGAGGAATTTGGCCATAAGGATAGCATTTGCACTGACAATGTATGTAAGCCCAAAGCAGCGTAAAAAGCTACTGCAAAATTAGATGCTGCATTGTGATAATTGTAGGGTGATCGATGTACTACTTAATATATATTTTAAGATTTTGCAATATCAGCTTGAGAAGCCATTATAATAATAATAACACAAACTGGAGTAAAAGAGACAAAAATAAGGCGGGTGAAAGAAGTCTGGGAACCCAGATTTAACATCAGAGAAGAAAAAGGCAAGAGAGACAAACTGGAAAGTTGTGCACAGTCCTCAAGGTTGTGGTTTTGATTACAGTTGTGCAGGTTTTAAAAAAAGTGAGTGACAAATGAGAAACACCCATACAAAGAGAGAGAGAGAGAGGGAGAGAGAAAATGCCTCCCAGTACATAAGTTTCTTTTACTTGTAAATCTGCATAAAACATATGTTATCCAGTCACACAAGCACTTTTTGAATTGAGGAACCTCACAGTTTGTCAACTCTGTCTGACACATGCCATCATTCTCTCTCCTCCTTTATCTCAGTGTCTCTCACTTACGTAGGCTTGTACAACTATCTTTGTGAGAACATTCATTAGCATAACACATTCCCTAGCTCTGTGCGCGTACACACACACACACACACACACACACACTGCGTTGGTTGCAAACAGCACCTTGGAGCATACTCTCTAACTAACCTTAAAACCATCTGGATAGCTAACCACAGGCCTGCCCTGCCCAACCCAGTGTGTGTGTGTGTGTGTGTGTAGGTTTGTCTTTATATACTTGTGCGAACCAACCCCTGACAGAACACCTTTCTTGTGTGGACCTTTTGGGTGGTCCACACAAGGAAAATGCTAGGATAGGCTCCTTTCATTCTAAAGAATGATCTGTCTAAGGTTCAGAAGATGTCCACATACAGAGGGTAAAGTCAGAAAAATGTGTGCCAGCTTGTGCTCTAAAAGTATCATGCTCTGATTAAATACTGCTTAAGATGAATTCATGCAATACTGCCTGTGTCTTTAAAAGGGCGCAGACAGGGCAGCTTAGAAGTGGGCGGGAATCAAGCAATATTTATAAAACCTGGAGCTTGAGGCTCACCTTCAACTAATGTTACGTTAAATGCATGCCTCAACACTGCAGAGACTGCGGTAGCACCACAATCGGTGTGCTGAGAGATACAACGAGTAGAGACCCATGAAAGCTGAATTAGACAATGAAAAAAACTCTGCAAATTGTCCAGGTAAGATTTATGAAACTAGTTAGTTGTTTTGGTTTGAAACTAAATTCTGGTTTAGTCCTCTGGCTCATTCTCCAGTGTTAGTATTTGTGAAGCTATTAAGCTAATGTTAGCTTTAACT